TAATTCGAGAGTAGTATGTGATTTCCCTAAATAGAAACAAAGATAATATTATATTGAATTGTTTTGAAAGAGTGGTGGGGTTAACTGACGAGGGAACAAATTGACATTATCCGACCAGGGGTGAAGAATCAAAACTTTGATGACTTCCTCCACTTTTGTATCTATCATATATATAAATTAAAATACCTCCAAATATCACACTTTTTCTAGTTGAGTCTTTTGACTAAATTATCCTAACTTGACTATTCAAGAATTTGAATCTCTTTTTTTTTTTTTCATTTTTATAACTTATCTTACACAACAAGTTAATCATTTCATTTCATATATGTTTTTATTTTTATTTTTATCTTTAATGCGACTAATTATTTTCTTCCTCCCATATTAAATTAAATACTTTTTATTTTTTAATTAGTCGCTTAAAAAAAAGTTTGGATCTTTAAAATTTGTTTAAACTTCTGAAGATCATATTAATATTAATTGTAGAAGTAAAATGAAAAAAAAAATTAATTAATTTTATCTTGATTTAGTAAGTGATCAAGTAAATATGAAACAAATATTTTTAATAAGATGCTTATCTAATATGGATGGAGAGAGTAGAATCCGTCACTTAAACGAGGAAATAGTATTCATTTTCTCGTCAATGTTTCTTCTTATAATATTATTTTAATTATTTTTCATAAACTTTACCAAACACACATATGATTAAGCAAACAAAATTCCGGAGTAGAAATTACAAGCAATTAACATACTTACTTACTAGGACTGACTGAGTCTGATCGAGCCACTCCTTACATTTTATCAAAAGAAATTGGTTGAACTTGAACATATATAAAGGGTATGTTTGGTATCGGAAAAAAATATTTAATTTTTTAATATGTAAGCAAAATATAGTATTTTGAAAAAAAATATTATATAACTTAGTAAATACTATGAGAGGTGGGAGTTGAGGATAGGGTGGGGAGTAGGGATGTGCTTTAAGGATTGTGTTGTTACTTGTTAGGATTAAAATAATCAAAGTGTCATATGGAAGTTAACAAAACAAACTTCGAAAGACCATGAATAAGAAGACAAATTAGAAATCTATCAAATGAAAAAATCGTTAACATGATTTGATCAATCGATTTACATTAAAATAAACATACATAATATCGAGAAAAATGATAAATAACTGCACAAATTCATTAAGAATAAATAGAAGTTCACACGCGTGATAACATATTCTCCTAACCTGCGTTGAAAAAAGTGGAATGTTAAACTTGTTTTTCTTAATTCAATCAAATAAATTATTTTTCTTACTTAAAATAGTTATGGTCAACGAATCTAACCGTGAAAAAAATTAAAAAATCTATTATTTTTACGGAACCCACTAAGAAAAGTAAAAAAAAGAGTAGTAACCTGGACCGGGAGCAACCGGTGAAAGCTCAAAGCGTAAGCCCCAAGTTCCTGGCGGCATTGACTGGTCTTTGAATGATGCGGGTCCCATTTGTTTGTGTTTGATATAGAGATAGAGATATATTATTATGAGAGATCTGCCAATATTATTATAGTATTATCGTCATTTTGTTACCAATTAGCGTCACGCCTTGCGGAAGCATTTTGGTGTCTCCCAACTAAACAACCATAATCATCAATTTTTTGTGGTGGGACGATAAAATATTGCACTATAGAAATTTTTGAATTTAATATATATGAATTAAGTTATAGGAAGCAATTTACCTTTTATAAGAAAAAGAAATAAGTATGTGAATTTGTCAAGTCTTAAAGCCGATATCAAATTATGAGAAAGAAAAAAGAAACTAAACTAGCAGGGATATCAGTGGAACTGATAGGGTAGACTCACTAAATCTTTACAAGGCTCACATTTGATGGACATAATATTTGTCCAAACTTCTTTTCTGTATTACCCATCCCTATTTTAAATTTAACTTCATGTCATAAGCTATTAATATTAAGTATTCGGGAAGTGAAGAAAGATTTGTAAGTATCAAGTGTTTTCTACATTTTTTCCCAAGCATCATCATTTTTTTGGGATTGGGGGGGTTGGGGGGATGGAGGGGTAATGGTGGTGGGGTGATCAAAGTAGTAAAAAAAAATTTAATTTTTTAGGCGTTGGGTTGGGGAGTGGGTGGGTGGTGGAGTAGTAAAAAAAGTAATAATTTTTGAGGCGTTGGAGTTGGGGGTGGGGGTGGACAAGTTAAATTTAAATGTTCTAAGTATTTTTTTCATGGGGATGGGGTGGGGTGGGATGGGGGGGGGGGGTGGGTGGGTTGAAGAGTATTTTTTGCTTTTAACATGATCCCTATAATTAGGGGTATACATGACCGGGTTGGTTCGAGTTTTTCAAATATCAAATCAAACCATTTGTGTATCAAACCAAACCAATAAAACTCGGGTTTTTCCGGTAAAGTATTCATACAAACATATAATTTACTTGTACTTCAAATATTTCTTTTGTCCTACCAAAATACAACTATCTAAGGTGTTTCTTAAGAAAATAACACAAAATATGATATGAGTAATGACACTAAAATATTCAACAAAAAAATAATAATAATGAAATTGCGTAAAACAAATATTGCAAATTTACAAGTCATAATGAAAATTATCATAATTTAAAAGTACTAAATCATGCTAAAATAAGTTTAATAAGTATTAGTTACATGACTAAATATTAAAAGAAATTAAAATTAGAGGATGTATTTGAATTGTCTAAACCAATGTAAAATCAAAGAACAAATATTCAATATTATTGTCATTCTTAGTGTTGAATTGATTTTCTTTTTGCATTAGTATTAATTTGATTTTGATTTAAGCTTTATTATAATTACCAACATATGTGGACTATAATCTTTATTGAATCATTCAGAATTCTAAGTTTCAAACTTGAAATAATATATTAAAAGATAAAAACTATGAAAAAGTATAAGAAATATTTAAAAATTATATCAAAGTAAATATTTTATTTATAAAATAAAATTATAAAATTATATATACGGAAAAGGGTCAAAATTTTCCCCGCACTATATGAAATAGAGCATTTATACCCTTCGTTACATTTTGGGATCAAAAATGCCCCTGCTGTTATCCTAAGAGACCACAAATACCCTCAAGAGTTAACACCCAATTTTTTGTTGGTGTGGCAAGCCACGTGGGACTAATCCTTCCACCTAAGCGTTGCCAACTAGGATTCACTACAAAAGAACTAGATCTTTAGCGGCAACAACAGTCGCCACAAAAGCCCAGAAAATCGTCACTAAAATTTTTTAACATTAAATTCTAATTTTGTGTTTTTTTCTTCATTGTTTTTAAAAAAACCAAATATGATATCGATTAAGTAGGAGTTTGAAGACACTATATGTTTTATTTTTATGTCATATGTAAATGTATAAAATGTACAATGATGCATTATATATATATATAGTAGGAGATTTGAATCGAGAAGTAATTTTGATTATTTTTCGTAATAATATTGGATGTTTTTAATATGGATATTGCAAGTTATTTATTTTAGAAAATTAGGTCGCAATCGAAAATTAATTATCATACTTTTTTGTTGAAAAAATAGGTTTTACTAGCGAATGGTTGTTGGAGCCTTAGTCGCCACTAAAAATCACTCATAACCTTTAGTGGCAATATTTTGGGATTTTGTGGCGACTTTGTCGCTACTAAAAGTCAAGTTCTTTTGTAGTGAATCTTAGTTGACAATGCTTAGGTGGAGGGATTAGTCCCATGTGGCTTGCCACGTCACTAAAAAATTGGGGTGTTAACTCTTGAGGGTATTTGTGGTCTCCTGGGATAACTGCGGGGTATTTTTGATCCCAAAATGTAATGGAGGGTATAAGTGGTCTATTTCGCATAGTTCAGGGGCAATTTTGACCCTTTTCCGTTATATATATAATGTCGGGTTGGTTTGGTCTCGGGTTGTTTTATTTTAGTTAAAACCAAACCAACCCAAATATAGTCGGGTTTTATTTTTCAATACCAATCAAGTCAAACCAACCACTAGTCAGGTTTTTTCTCTTGATTTGACTCGGTTTGCGGTTTGGTTCGATTTTCGGTTCGGTTTTGTATGCCCCTACCTATAATAATATGGGTAAATATGGATACCCATATTACCCATTGGATAACTCGTTTTTACCCATTTTTATTTAACTCGTTTTCGATCGACTCATATTCGACTCGATTCGCTCATTTGTCACTCCTAGGATGGAGGCATCACATTTGCAACCTACTTCCTATGATGTATAATTTATGTATATAGCTAGAAAAAGTAAATATTTGTGTGTGAAGATTCTATACTGTCAAACTCAAAATTCCTCAAATTAGAACTCTAAATCTCTAGTCTAGAAGCGTATAGAATTCAAACTTTTCAGCCTAAAATTAAAATTTTCAGCAATAACGCAGCAAATCCAGAATAGAACAAGAGGAGTATAAATAGATGGTAAGTTGATTACACTATCCTTTTATAACTTGTTACTCCTTTTTAGTCTGTTTATGACTTCAAAGTTTATTAGTATAACTTTATAAGCTTTGTCAACAAGGTCATAAAAATTATTTTTCTGTATCATTGAAGTAACTGAATTTTATGTGTTGTATTATCAAGATCAGTAATCTTTAGTCTTAACAATAATAAAGTCATTACATTAGTTTTGTTATCATTAAAATTAGAAGTGTCAATTATTCAACACTTATCAGCGAAAAATTACATTATTTATACATATATAGTAGATGTTGAACCCCTTCGATTTTTTGTGTGTTACATCTTCATTTCTTGAACCCCTTAGTGAATATCCTAATTCCACCGTTGTAATGTCAGATGACTAATAAGTGTAGTTATGTAGCTATGGGTTAATCTGATTGTGTAAAATACTTGTACAGAGAGTCAGAGATAGTGCAGAAACATAGTAGTATTAGTATAAATTATTGATAAGATGATTCACAAAGTGATGCATTGAGAATCTTATTGGGAAAACCTAAGAAATTGGGAAGAGTATGTATGCGTGTTGTAATGTTCAAATCTGTGGTCATCACTTAGGAGGTCCATGTAAAGGGGGGAAATTTACAAATAGTCACATTTCAGCTTCTATAATTGAAAAATAGTTATTGTTCTGAAGTTTTACTCATAGAATTTAAAACTTCAGTATAATGACTATTTTTCAAAGATCATAAGGCCGAAAAGTAGCCAGTGAACGCTATTTCTAGCCATGCAAGTCATATCGAGCCCAGAGCTCGTCCAAAGGACAAGAGTTGCCAGAGTCTAGCCTGAGCCAAGGTTTGCCACCTCCACTCCAATGCAACAAACTAACAGGACCAGCATGTATATTTCTGCAACTTCCACTCAAATTATCCCCTCCAAGTCCATGTTGGTTCCATCTTTGGTCAATTGGTGCTATCTTCCCTGCAAATACCAATAAAAATGGTGGCAATGAACCAAGCTCATATATCCTATGCACCCTCTGAATCTTCATCCATCTTTCTAGTTTCTTCGTGTATCTGTACTTCCTCCATTTAATCAAATCAATCACCATTACACCTGTCGGTATAAATAAGTTAAATCCATCATTTTATACCATATATATGATGGATAGTATATAGTACTAAGCTTTATAACACATTAACATGCTTTGATAGTGTAAAAGTTATTATTTGTGCTGTCGGCATAAATAAGTTAAATCCATCATTTTATACCGATGCATGATTTAGTCGTTGACTCCTAGTTGTATTTTAGGTAAAGTATAAGGACTTACTTGATGAATGGTTATTGAAACAGGGCAGCTTAGGTGGATGTTTGGACATGTACATGCATGTGTATTTTATTACTATAAAAAATATAGTACCAAACAAGCATATATTTTTATTATATTGCATTTTGACAAAGTATTTGATTCATGCATATTGGTTGAACCATTCTTTAAGAAAGAGTATCCAGTGTGATCATAAACAATTACAGGAAAAAGGAAACATCATACCTGTGTTGAAGTAACAAGGTTTCCGGCCATGGAATGCGCGAAAAAACTTCTTGTGAGACCAAAATTTTGGGGTAAAATAGTTGGTGAAATTAGCATGGCAGTACTGAGGTGATCCAACAGTTGATAATCCAAGACTTGCTTTCCACAGATTAGATATATCATCAACTAAAACGATATCAGAATCTAAGTATATGACCCTTTCGACACAGGGCTCTAAGAGTTCAGCTAAGTAATTCCTTGCATAATTCAATGGATGTTCAAGAGTTTGCCTTATGCTAGACGAAATCTTGTTCTGCACAATCCCTGGATTGAAATAGTAAATCTTGAATGACAATAAAGGGAAGATTTTTCCCAAATGGGGTTCAAGATTTATAGTATCTGATGATGAAATGAAATGGAAGAAGAGATTTTCAGGGCAGTGAGAATGCTGAAGGATTGAATGAATTGCAGCGACCGATCCACGGAGGAATTTAGTGTCAAGGGTCATTGAAATATGGACTAAAGAAGGATTACAAATCTTTGTAGCAATTGAACTTATGGGAAATGTTGTACATTTTGGTGAGTTGTTGAAATTTGGTGATTGTCTATAGTTAAACAGAGGATCAAGATCTGAATTGGATGATTGTATTGCTTCTGCAGGAGGGCAAGATTGTAGAAAAGGATAAGCCAAAATGATCACAATTGATATAGTGATCATAAATCTTGAATTTTCAATAAACCAAGTCATTTTTTCTTGTGTAGACTTGTTGAACATCAAATTGGAGTTAATCCTTTTCTACTAAATTTCCCTTTGTAAACACAAGAAACCTCTTATATTACATCTCTTTTCTCTTCTTCTTTTTCTTGTTGTTGTTGTTGAGTGCTTTTCAGGTTTAATAGGAACATGAGGTGTATGGATTGGACTGTGTCTTCATGGATAATTTCAACCCCAGTTATCATGTGGAAAAGATATTAAAGTTTCACTTTTTATTTTGGAGGTGGGACCCTCCCCACTGCCCTGGTACTTAGGGGAGAAGTCAGTATTTTTGCTCAAATACTCAATATATTTGTTGACAAGTTTATTAAATATGTATAAATATTAAATTTTAAACTCAGTTATTAACAGTTGAAATTATTGTTATAAAATTTTGATCGACTTCGCCTATCCTTGTTGTAGGCCAATTCCATAATGGTGCTGTCACTACTACTGCAATAAAAAGTTGACATATGTGTAATGATTAAAATAATATTGTTTTCTTGCAAGCCCAATATAGATTAAAATATGATATTTGAAATACACAAGAGGAAGTTTAAAATGTTAAATGGAAACCAGTAGAATGCAGCATGTTTTCCACAATGAATCTTCCTGCACCTTGCTACAGTGACATAATAAAAGAAAGTCAAAGTTCATTTGTTTATACGTCAAAATCAACCAAAAGTCATAAGTTGATTCTTAACAATTTATCTAACCATATAATTGTTTATTTATAAAAATCAGTTTCAACGCTTAAAATGTATATGTTGTTTACAATCGTCTAATTCGAACAGACTCTTTGATCATAATAAGTGAATGGGAACAAAAAAAGGTAAACTAAAACACACTAATAGTTAAAAACTGAATTAAAAATAAATAAATTACACTGTCAAGGTATTAAAGTTTTAAACTTTATATAAAACGTTTATAATTGTTGTTTAATTTGTAATTAAATATGTTGTTTTCGACAAGTATAGACGCTACAGCCATATGTTCAAAGCAAAAGAATCTTTTGGTACAAATATAATCCAACTAGTAATATTATTTTGAAAAGTTCAACGTCACAGAACGCATATAGAATTTTGCACCAATTCATTTTGTAAGTGGATTTGGGTGGTGATTTTAAAGTTTAATTCTAGATTTATATTTACTTGTATTATTATTACTAGGAATTCTACAACAATACCTTGACTAGCTTTCAACTACTTCTAACAAATCAGCACTTGTAATTTTTTTAGTTATTTTTCTCAACTTGTTTAGGTTAATGTACCAGACAATCCTAAACCATTATGACTTTTTCTTAAGCTATCAAGTCAAATTTACTATACGAGGAAGGAATTTTGTTAATTACCTAAACACTACACTAATATTATCTGTTTTAACTTTTAAGAATTGGTAAAGAGAAAAACTTACCATTGTTAGAAGAAAAAAGGTATGGGATGGCGATATCAACCTAATTATTTGTGTTGCTCACATACATGATTGAACGATTCAAATTCGACATTGCATACGTGTGGAACAAATCCGCACAAGTTTTGCAATAGAAAGCATTTATAGGATAATTTGGTAGCACGTTAGAGTTATACAAGTACATATTTACATCGTATTTGGTGGAAAAATTACACGGTTAAGCAAACTTATACTACTTAATTACTCATCATAGCTATAATTTGTTATAATTACCACTCGCGACTAACATTATACATTAATTACGTGGGCTGACTTCGAGTTTGTATAATTAGTCACGTTTGTATATGTATAATTCGCCAGAATCTACAAATACATATGTATAATATACAATTATCTAACCGATATACATATACAATTCACCTCTCTCCCACTCTCTTCCCTCTCTTGCTCGCCTCTCTCCTCCCTCTCCCAATCTCGCTCGCCTCTCTCCTCCCTCTCCCAATCTCGCTTGCCATATATACAAATACATGTGTATAATATACAATTATCTAACCGATATACATATACAATTCACCTCTCCCACTCTTTGCCCTCTCTCGTTCACCTCTCTCCTTCCTATAACATGTAGCTACGAATTGTAATTATCAAACTATAGCTATGAAGAGTAATTAGGCTATTTTTGAGTAGCTATATGTGAAAGTTCCTCTTTGGTGTGCTGAATAATGGGCTTGTTCAGTTCAATCAGCCCATTGAGGAAAACATGGAAACTTTGGATCTTCATCAACTTTACAAGACAACCAAAGTTAAACATTAGCAGAATCTCAATCAATTTTAGGCAGCAAACAGACAACAAATATAGTGCAAAACTTATAAGCCACATCTCCAATCATCAGCAACATCATATATACACATGAAATTTCTCTTTCTTCCTATCTTTTCCTAATACCCAAAAAAAAATGACAACAACAAATGTCCTTCTGAGAAAAAATAAGTGTATTAATCAATACTTTTAGTACTGTACTAATCTATATGTTAAACTAAACACAAGTACAATTTATAACAGCATTCGAAAAAGACTACTCTATTATGAGCCTTAATTGGCAAAGACCTCTTTTCTCCCATCTTTATTTCACTAAGTTCGTCTTGTTTTGTTTTTTATTTATAGTCGATTTCAATTGACATGTTTAAAATCATAAGATTCAAAAATATTATTTTTCTTTCTTAAAAACTTGGTTTTAAACCAAACAAACAAATTAAAACGATTACTATTAATCCATTGAAGAAAACATGGAATTGGCAACATTTGAGGATATTCAACAACTTCACAAGAAAACAAAACAATGTGCAAAATAATCAAAAAGTCATCATCATCATTTTATACAATTTCATTTTCATCCTAAAGCTACCAAAATCAAGCCATTTCTCTAAAAAGGCTCTAAAAACCATATTCTTCTTTTCTTTTCTTTTTTCACTTGGCACTATTTCTTAATAACCCTAAAAAAAAGCTTTTACTACAAGCTTAAAAAAGGATCTTTCTACTTTTATAATAATAAGCTAATAAAAAAAGGTTAGGGTTTTTAATACTGACTATTAGTGCTGATGACTGACTTTAGCCAAAAACAGAGCCACAAGACAGAGCCATCAGTAGAACTGCAGCTCTTTCAACTTCATCAAGTTTTCTTTGATTTCTTGGTTTCTTCATTGAAGATCTTTGCCTCTGTAATATCACTACTTCTTTCCCCAACATCATCAATTTCACCCTCAATACTTTGCTAAGCTTCCCATCTTTTCCATTTCCGATTTTACCCTTCTTACAGTACTCAACCTCTTCGGTACTACCACTGTTGGAAAGGGGTTTCTCTTTCTTCTTCGTTGCCCCTTTGGTTAACCCAATTGGGCTACTCTTTTTCTTCCTGTATTTGATCCCACAAGCATTGCACAGTGACTGCAAATAAAGTAATTAACAATGTGAATTAGCAGTCGATCAACTGATTTGGATCAAAACCCAGATCAGAAAATGAGTGTAATTAAACTTACTTTAGGCCCAGAAGGACCAGATCTCCATAAGGGTGTCTTTGTAGTTTTGCAATCAGAGCAAGATTTTGAGATCCCAGTTGCCTCACTACCCGAAGATTCCTCCTACATCACAGAAAAGGAATCAAGAACCAAAAATTAAAACAAATTGAAAAGAAAAAAGAGTAGAACAATCAACAATGCGGGCAAAATTGATTACGAATAGGGGTTTAATTTACCTTTTGGGTCGGATCCATGAACTTAAACTCGTCAAAAAAACAGAACAAAGTGGCAATTGGGAGAAATCTGAAGTGGGTTTTCGTGCTAAAACGAAAAGCAGAAAACCCCAAAGCAATGTATAGAGATTAATGGACCAAAAGACTTGGTTCCAGTGAAAAAGTTAAGAAAAATTGGAGAAAAAAGGCAAAAAGATTTGATTATTTGATAATGCGAATGTGTGTTTTGCAGGAACAGAGTGAGTTCAGTGAGGTGGCTAGTGTAATGATATAAAGGACACTGGAAAAGAAAGTGGACTCAACCCTAATTTTACGGGTGAAATGACGGGAATACCCTTGGGTTTTGGTTTTGACGGCATAGATGATTGCTAAACTAATGCTAAATGTATACCACGTGTCCAACTGCATGCACCAGGACTCTTAGTTATAAAGTGTTTTTTTAATTTTATTTTTAATAAGATAAGTATTCTATGAATTAAAAGAAAAAAAAGCAAGATGAAAAGTTGTCAAATACTAAATAATAGTTGTCCACTGTTAACAAAAAAAAAGTTGTCAAATACTAGAAAGATTCGAGTGAGCAACGAGAAAGAAAAGTAACTTTTAGTGATAATAAATATGAGGGAAATTACACGGATAAATAAATATATATACTTGTTAATTAGCTAATACAATTATAGTTTGAATTAATTGCGGCTTGCAGTTTAATTTTAGTTGTAATTACGTCGCATCTCTCCTCTCTTCCTCTCTCTCGACTCGCTCCTCTCTTCCTCTCTCCTCTTTTATACATATACAAATACAAACTATTCATATACATATACAATTACATGACAGATATACAAATACAATTAACCTATCTCCACTCTCTGTCCTCTCTCGCTCGCCTCTCTCCTTCCTATCTTAATTTCGCTCTCCTCTCTCCTCTCTCCTCCCTCTCTCAATCTTGCTCGCCAAATATACAATACATATGTATACTAGTTACATATATACAATTATCTAACAGATATACATATACAGTTCGCCTCTCTCCACTCTCTGCCCTCTCTCGCTCGTTTTTTCTCTCAATCTCGCTCACCTCTTTCCTCCCTCTCTCAATCTCGTTCGCCAGATATACAAATGCATATGTATACCAGTTACATACATACAATTATTTGGCAGATATACATATACAATTCGCCTCCACTCTCGGTCCTCTCTCTCTCGCCTCTCTCCTCGCTCTCCAACGCTCCTCCATCTAACATGTAGCTACGAATCGTAATTAATAACTATAGTTATGGAGCATAATTAAATTATTTTGAGCAGCTATATGCGAAAATTCCCCTAAATATAAATATATAAAAAAATGTGTTAGTCTTTATCGGAATTAGT